TCAGGCCGCAGCAACTGAAACTCATCCATCAATTGTGGACCAGACGGAAGCATTGGCACCTCCCCTGAAGACTCTGAGTCGCTAATGGAGTCCAGCTCGTGACGAATCTGAGCAATTTTCTCCCGGAAATGCTTGGCAAAGTCGTCACAGCAGGCCTTCGACGCTAAGGCTCTCTGGGCAGAACATGACAATTTAAAACCCTAAAGTCCAGCTAGATAGGCCAATGTGCTGCCAGGACATAAAGCAGCCTTTTCTCTAAACCAGCTGTTTTTTCAAAACCATGAGGACCAGAATCTTTATTTGAACAGCTATAGTTTAAGGATATTATTTATTACATTGCTATACTTTAATTAAGATGGTTTTATATGGATATTTTAACTTATTGTTTTATCTATGTTGTAAGCCGCCCCGAGGCTTCGGCGAATGGGGCGGCATAAAAACGTTTTAATAAATAAATAAATAAAACACTGCCCATAGCTGAAGCTGAGTGGTTCACCACAGGATATTAAAAACAACAACAAAATACAGTCCATCAACCAGCATTTAAAACATTTAAAACTAATTAACATAGCATTATGATACATTGAATACAATGAAAAGGGCCCAGCCAAGAAGGAAGGAAAAAAAAGCATAAACCCATCAAGCTGCTGGATGACTAGGGAAATCTTTAAAGAGCTCTAAAGGTTGGCATGCAAAATGTCCCGGGGTCAATCCCTTTGGTCTGGATGCAGAGAGCATTGATAATGTATAAGAAGGCAGCATAAAACCAAGTTTTGTGTGGCAGAAGCGCTAGGAAACAATCCCACGCGCATTAGGCAGAGAAAGATGGCCTGACTGTCCATTCCGGCCGCTGGGGCATGCCGGGAAGTGGATGCCACGTCTATGCTTAAGCTTGCCCTGGCTCGCAAGCAGCAGTCCCCAGCAAAGGGTGTCAGGGATTGGCGACCACCCCTGCAAAGCGGCCATTTGGCACATGCTGAGGAGCACATTCAGGCTGAAGTCAAGCCTTCAAGAACACTGCAAAAGCACATCCAAGAGATGAGCCAGGGCAGCCGTCGTTGGCCATTTGCACCCGCATCCCAGGGCAGCCGTTTAATGTCGGTGGCTGGGTCCCAGCTGCAGATTTCTCCTTACCTGGGAGGTTGCGGTCCAGGGGTGTGGGCTGAGCCATGTTTTGTTGCTTAGTCCTCCTGGCGCAGGCAACCAGGGCTGGGCAAACCTGGCAGAAGAAACAAACCACAAAAACACCCAGGCTTCAGCTTTAGAAGATGAGCTTCCTGCCCATCCCTGCTGGGGCGACTGACGAAAAACCAGCACACGAGTTCCCCTTTGTCAGACAAGGAGCCTATTCAGTCTCCAGTGTGTAGCTGAGTCACTGGTTAAGTTTTCCTAACCAGCATCTGAATTAAAATCAATAGGAAAAACATGTAAATCAATGAAGAACAATGAAAACATTATATCAATTTTTTTCCAAAGCCAAGGATGACCACCCTGTCCCCACCGGGGCCTCCCTGCTTCTGCCATAACAGCCAGCTTGATCCCCTTTGCTCTCAGCAGCTCACTCCAGGCTGTTTTCTGCCCTCTCGAGAGCAGCAACAGTGCCTCTGAGCACGTGCAGGCCGCCTCTGCCCCAGTGGCACCATCTCAGCGTTCCCCGTGCATTCCTTCAAAGAGCACCGCAGCCCCGGCACCTCGCCTTGCAAGTAACGGCAAACCTCTCCTGTTCCAACTCCGCTTTAGCTCACACGCGCATTTCATTCTCTGGCAGGAGCCCCAAGCTGGACTGGGGCCCCGGGCGGCCTCCTCTGGCTCCTGCCCAAAAGCTGCTCCTGCTGGAACCCCGGGACTGTCCCTGGGCAGTGCAGCCTCCCCCTAGCCCGCCCAGCCACCTGATTCCACTAAGCTGCAGCTGATCCCGGCAGCTGCACTTTGGGGCGGCTGGGGAGTTTTTGAAGGAAAAGAAAACTTGTGCTGGAGAACGGTCAGAGCAGAGCTGCATGACTTCGGCCCAAAGGATGGAGCTTCTTGGTGCAGAGACAACAGATGGGGATGTTTGCACCTTGTTACGACTCGTCTTCGGAGCGTGTTCCGCGCACGGGCCGGGAGGCAGGCGCGCAAAGCAGAGCCGGCTTCGGGGACCATTTCCGGACACTTGGGACCTGTTTTGGGCACTGCTGGGCAGGAGGCAAAATCGGTCAATCACACGTTCTAAAATTAGCTTCTCCAGCCCAGGGGCGGGGGCTGCACTCGCCCCAGAGGAGAGCCTGGCTCTTTTCCTCTTGAGCTGGTTTGCAGCTGCAATGCTAAGAATAGGCCTACTTAAAATCCCAAGGCTGTTGGAGAACAGAGATAGAAGAGGATTTGGGGGAGGGACAGAGAATCAGAGCAGGGCACCTCCTTTCTTGCTCCAGAAATGGGCATCCCTGCTGCAACTGGGAACGGGCGCTGCTTTGGCTGATGGACAGGGTCGAGCTGAAACAGAAGAGAGGAGCCAGCTCACGACAGAGCTCCTCTCTGAGAGTCCAGCTTCCCTGCACTTTGGGGACCTACTGTCTTTTGAGGAGGGAGCAGAACAAATGTGTCACATGTAAAAAAGAAAAGAAAGCACATCCCTCAAGCATATCAGACCTGTTCTGTTCCTGGCTAATATGGGCAGAGGAACACCAGGAGAACCAGCCGGGCAGCAAGCGAAGCCCTTCTGCTCCGGTCTTTGCCCCATGGCCTCCCGATGCTCCAGCACTGGGCTTGCAACCAAGCCAGCAGAAGCTGGCCTCAGACAAGCGAGCTCAGCATGAGTCAAGCAGAACGCAGAACACGCACAGCCATTCCTTCAAACTCATGTCAAAAAGGGACAGCAGCCAATCCCACTGGTTCCCGAATATGCTGCATCTCAAGGCGAGAAGTCTCTCTCTGGATGCGACATGAGCAGAGTTCAAAGTCCCTTTACAGCACACACCTTGGGCTGTTTAAGTCTCATCAGAGCCCTCCTGTCTTACGTTCTGCGGATTGTTGCTGCCGGTTGGACGGCCTTCCACTCATACACGGAATCCGATTTTGTGCAAACGTGCAGCCTCCCCCACAAAATATGTATTTCCCATAAAACACCTATTTCGTGCTTTCGCCTATGAGGGCAAATGGGTTGGAGGTTTGTAATTTTATTCCACAACTAAACTCACATAAAATGCCAAGAGGAAAATGGTCCGTCAGTGCAAAGGTGGTCCATTATGGAATCTGCAGGTCGAATTTCCAGAATGGCGAGCTCATTTGAGTTTATTGAGGGTTTCTCTGGCATCCCTGCATATGCCTACCAGGCTTTAACCAGGCTTATGTGCATATGCTTTAGCCAGGCTTCCCCAACTAGCTTAAGTCCAGCTAATGGGGTTGGGGGAAGCTACAGGAAATCCAGGCAGCAGATCTTGGGGCTGGACCCATGCCAAAAACTGGCCTCACTGATCAGGGCAGCTGTGTGGGGAGGGCTGAGCCCAGTGGAATCATCTGCTGGACCTCTCCAGCCTGGCCACATTCTTTC